AAGAAAGGCATTAAACAATATGGAGTAAGTATATGAGTGGTATCATGAGCAGTTGTTTACATGCATATCAGAAGCAGGCAGATGAGGACAGAGAAGCAGACAGACACTTTTATGTCATACAATGTAAAACAAGGAGACCCATTAAAAAACTACTGTAACAATCCAAAAGAGATGATGAGGTTTGAATGAAAATAGTGGCAGGAGGGATATGTTCAAGACTCACTAAGGAACTACTAAATGCAAGAAAATTTACTGTGTGAATGAATATAGCTGTGAGGGAAAATCAAGAGTCTTATGGTGACTCACAATAATTTGCCAACCAGATGACATTACTAGGGCAAATCTATGAATGTCTCTATGAGGTTACATTGTCAAATCAATATATTTCCAAAGTCACTTAATAAGACTAGTATTGCAAGCAAGTGAAAAAAGATAACTAGTTTAACTCTTTATTTTTATTTTTTTTTTGAGACAGAGTCTTGCTCTATGGCCAGGCGCCAGGCTAGAGTGCAGTGGCGCGAGCTTGGCTCACTGCAACCTCAGCCTCCTGGGTTCAAGCGATTCTCCTGCCTCAGCCTCCCGAGTAGCTGGGACTACAGGCACACACCACCACGTCCTGCCAATTTTTGTATTTTTTAGTAGAGAGGGGGTTTCACCATGTTGGCCAGGATGGTTTCAATCTCTTGACCTCATGATCCACCTGCCTCGGCCTCCCAAAGGGCTGGGATTACATGCGTGAGCCACTGCACCCGACCTTAACTCTTTATTTTGAAGTAATTTTTGATTTTGGGAAAAAAACGTGCAGGAGCATAAAAAGAATCCAGTATTCACCCACATTCCCCAAATGTTAACCATTTTAGGTGAGATTTTAAACCTCAAGAGCAAAAATCCACAAGTAAGACGAAAGGACTTCTAAGCAACGAGCCAAATATAGTTAAGTCAGAGAATTTAAGTTGGAAAGTCTTCAAAATTTTTTTTACTACAGAACCTATTTTTAAAAATAAAATCTTTGGCCAGGCATGGTGGCTCACGCCTGTAATCCCAGTACTTTGGGAGGCCAAGGTGGGCAGATCATGAGGTCAAGAGATTGAGACCATGGTGAAACCCCATCTCTACTAAAAAATAGAAAAATTAGCTGGCCATGGTGGAGCGTGCCTGTGGTCCCAGCTACTCGGGAAGCTGAGGCAGGAGAATTGCTTGAACCCAGGAGGCAAGGTTGCAGTGAGCAGAGGTCGCGCCACTGCACTCCAGCCTGGCGCCTGGTGACAGAGCAAGACTCTGTCTCAAAAAAAAATTAAATAAATAAAATTAAATTAAATCTTTGAGGCTGGGTGCAGTGGATTAATCCCACGTACTCAGGAGGCTGAGGCACAAGAATCACCTGAGCCCAGGAGGCAGAGGTTGTAGTGAGCCAAGATCACACCATTGCACTCCACATTGGGGAACAGAATGAGATTCTGTCTCAGAAATAAATAAAATAAATTAAAATCTTTGGCCAGACACAGTGAATGGCTCACACTTGTAATGCCAGGAATTTGGGAGGCCAAACAGGGAGGATCGCTTGAGCCCAGGAGTTTGAGACCAGCCTGGGCAACATGGCAAGACCCCATCTCTACAAAAAATAACAAAATTAGCTGGGCATGGTGCCATGTGCCTGTAGTTCAAACTCCAGGAGGCTGAGGCAGGAAGATCCCTTGAGCCCAGGAGGACAAGATTGCCATGAGCTGTGACTGAGCCACTGCACTCTAGCCTGGATGACAGAGAGACCTTGTCTCAAAAAATAAAATAAAATCTTTGCCTTCAGGTCCATGGTGTTGGGAAAAATTTTCTTTTAAATTTAAAAACAATAGGCTGGGCTGGGCATTGTGGCTCACACTTATAATCCCAGCATTTTGGGAGGTGGGGGCAGGTGGATTACCTGAGGTCAGGAGTTCAAGACCAGCCTGGCCAACATGGTGAAACCCCGTCTCTACTGAAAAATACAAAAATTAGCCAGGTGTGGTTGCGCATGCCTGTAATCCCAGCTACTTGGGAGGCTGAGGCTTGAGAATCGCTTGAAGCTGGGAAGCAGAGGTTGCGGTGAGGCAAGATCACATAACTGCATTCCAGCATGGGCAACAGAGCAAGAATCTGTCTCATAAAAAATATTATTGCAATAGGACTGTTCTTTAAAAAATAAAAAAAAATTTTTTTAAATACTTAGCCAGTCATGGTGGCATTCATCTGTCATCCTAGCTACTGGGGAGGCTGAGGTGGGAGGATCACCTGAACCTGGGAGGCTGAGGCCGCAGTGAGCCACTACAGTCCAACCTGGGTGACAGAGTAAGGCCCTGTCTCAAAAAAATTAATTAATTAAAACAATA